TCAATCAAATTTTTTCAGTCATAGCATCTCGATTCATATGTAGCAGCTAATATACGCAACGGTTGAAATAAGAAAACAGACTCATTTCCTTTCCCATTGAGTTGCGTCCCAGTGTTCACGGGGATGGTAGAACTGGCAGCGTTGCGAGGCAAGGGCTCAAACATGTACGGCTGGAAGCCTTCTACACCAAACCAAGCTTCTGCTGCCCTGGCGTCCTCTTCCACAACATCTTCGTCCCCGCTTTCCTCCTCTAAATAAAAAAATGGATGACGGAGGAGACTCATCCATGACCTCCGACACAATCCTTCCATGTTTCTGCTGTCCATAGTGTTCCTTGATAGTGTCGTTGCTAAGTGCTACTCGTTCCCAATGTAATTTTCCATTGGGAACCTACTAGCACTGAGTTGCTAACTGGTTAGCAAGATGCTTCCGAGACACTGGCCACAACTAAACATGCTTGCAAACCCTCTGCCACAACAATCCTGCCCCCCTTGATAATCAACCAATCACATTCACTTTATAAACTAGTGTAAAGTCGGGCACCACAAAGGAGAATTTGGAACTGTAACCGTTGGAACAGTTGCCTCCCTACGACTTTAAGCTGTGTAAGAATATAGAAGACAGAAATGGCAAAAATCTAAAAGTGACTCCTCAAATGTAGCCCTTATTGTAAATAAATAACTCAATGTATTTTCTCTCTTACAAAAAAAAAAACTTCCTGCGATGACTATGATTTCTGTTTCACTCTCATAAAGACTCTCTGCTTTACCAGAATGAAAGGGATACACACGAACAATGTTCCATTTCACAGTAGCATTACAGCTTTCTTTATAGTTTTTTATTTTATTACGTTAATCAGGTCATTTACTTCTACTTAGCAAAAAGTCCATTGCAAAAAGTTCAAGGACCTCATTGCCAATTCTTGGACTGAGGGACAAACTACCACTCTATGATTATTGTCATTTACAGTCTTGTGACAAATCTTGGGTTGTAATGTTCTATGGACCAGAAGCCAGCCGAGTGTTGATGGCTGCTGGTCCATTGTGGTTCACACATTATGTGTCAACCTTCCTGTGTTTGAGCTCTGCAGGAGGTTTTCGTTCCACTGGTGGAAACTTCTGCAGTGCAATTTAGGCCACCATCACCACAGAAATGAAGGTTAAACAATAAGAGTGTTATCGAATGCTTTTCAAACCTGGTGCTCTAAGAGATATTAATACATAGAGAGTTTTATTTCTTTATTTGTGTTTACATAAGGGTTTAGTAACAACTGAACATTTAGAAAACAAATCTGATACAAAAAACTGCACAATAATAAACAATAATTTCTGTAATATTTTTCAGCATTTCTATATGTTATAGTTTCATGCATGATGGAGGATGTTCCAATGGGATCAGACATGAAAGGCATGCTTTATTCTTTTTTGCTTCTCACTCTGGAATACACACAAATGCTCACAGCATTATCCTCTTGCTGCTGTCCTTCAACTCTCTTTAGATCCAGAGCAGCATAATGGAGACTTTCTGTGTTGTTTTCCTGTCATTGGCAAAACATATTTGAACTTAGATTGATTCAAGTTTTAAAGATCAGGATGAAAAAAAATCTCCTATTAACAAAAGTGCTAGTCTGGATATTCTGGGATATATTTGGATTTCATGAAACTCTTACCGCACTGACAGTGATGTCAAGGGCTCCAGAAGACTGTGGTTTACCAGTCCCTATAAACCACAATGTGTAAATAAACAGGTTAGACTGTAAGATGCATATATAGATAAAATCTAGATTTGAAATGGAAGCCTTACCTTTGCAGGACAAGCATAGCTTGGCCTTAAGTTTATGTCTCAGGAAAGACAAAACAAGGAGCCCAATAATGGAGAAAGCGAGGGCCACACTCAGGAAATACACCAGGAGAGAATGCACTGTGGTGAAGGTAAACATGTAAAAAAGCAAAACATAAACAAACCCCTCTATATATGTATACTTGTATTATATGACCCTTGACTAATAAAGAATCAGTGTAATTCATTTTAATTGTGTTTAACTGGTTGGACATTTGCAAAGATTACATACCTAAAATCTCCACATTTGTTCCTTCTCCAAATACAACCATCCCACATGAGGCCAGAGCACAGTAGTAGGTCCCAGCATCCGAGGACATCACAGAATTTAACTCAAGGTTTGAAGTGCAATTAACACCATGAAGGGGTCCATTTTTAAGACCTATACAGCTTTTTGCACTGGGATACATGAGTGAGGGTTGGGAGGCAGTATGTCTCAACCAGTAAAGGCTCTGTTCTCCTTTGCATGGTTCAGCAGACACGCTACAGCTCAGATTTAGTGAATCTCCGATTTGTAGAGGAGTCAACGTAGACTGTTGAACAGGCAACTGGGAGTTTGATGAAGCTGCTTTGACACGAAGGAAGATTCCTTGTCCAAATTCAATGGCATTGAATTCTAAAACAACACAGTAATACATTCCAGAATCTGATGGCTGAAGGTCTTTGATTATTAGATCATTGAGTCCTTCTTCTGGCCCTGAAACAACTTGAAATCTATCTTTATATACTGAGGAGATTATGGCTTCTTTGCTGTTCCTCAAACGTTTTGATATCATACAAGGTTTACCTCCAAGACTTTGCTTGTACCAAAGAAAGCAAGTTACAGCCTCATGCTGACAGGAGCAGCGTAAAGTCAGGGTCTGTCCAACTTTAGCTGTCTTAACGCCAGTTTCCTCAATAATATCTGAGGTTTTGACATCATTAAACACTCTGCCTGTAAAGAAATCAATAAAAAGTTAGATTTTTCTCTGGTAAAATGCCTTTAGCTCCATTCAGAATAAAACCGGAACATAAAGAAACACTAATCATCATTTGATCAATACTCACAGATATTGCAAAGAAGCAAGAAGAAAATAAAAAGCGGCTCCATCCCTTTAATCAGACCGACATTCTGTATTCTGAGATTAGAGCTTCACCAAGCTCTTATAGAAGATACATGGCTGCTTTTGATTGGCTAAGATCAATGGACGTTTTTTTTCCAATAGGCTTTTGATTTGTTTAGGTTTTGATGCACCAAGCTTTAGTAGAAGATACATGGCCTCTTATGATTGGCTAAGATCAATGGAAGCTTTTTACATTAGACATTTGATTTGCTTAGGTTAAAATGTTGAATCTGCTACGGTTACGCAAACCTACCAAAAGAGGGGAACAACTGGGTCAGTTTTCTCAGGCGTACTGTGGGAGGGGGTGGGGGCTCATACTATTGTGACCCCGGGTAAAAATTGCCCTTAATCCCGCCTTTGCCACTCCATTGGTTAGAGTGACAGTCAGTCACACAGTGCATTCAGCCAGTCACTGCATCAGGAGTGGTTATTCATTATATTGTGAGGGAGAGAGCTGGATACAAAGGAGCTACAGGTCTGTGCTTCCAAACAATTTGTTCATCTCTTTGTTTATCATGTACTTTTAAAACCTCAAAATATAGAAAAATCATGTAGATCTGAATACCCAGTGAGTTTGGAGCCATAAAGTTATAATGCACTGAACTATATATGGAATTGGTGAGTAGTGAACACAATGTTGTTTGTTTGTTTAGCATGTAGGTGATAGCCAATGCTAATTGCATGAATTAATTTTTTGTGTTTTAGATGATGAAATAAATGCTGATATTTTTATTTTGTCAAAAAGACTAGATGTTGGATAGAATTTTATGATTTATTTATTTATGTAACTGAAATACAAGTGTAGTTATCTAGCAGACTCGTAATTTACTGTTCCTGTTTATTTCAATACAGGCCAGGTGACCCTTTTTGGGCTAAAGGCTGGTGAGCTGAGGACTAGCTGTGCCAGGAGACCCTGAAATCCACTCCATGCGGGTCTGGTCGGAGTTTGATGGTCAATAGAATTTCCTCCCCCATCTCATCATACAGACACACAATCCATAATTCATCTCTTCCCCATTGGAAACAATTTGCTATTGGACATTTCCAACTTAAATAACTGGACAATCAAATCATGGACTTTTTAAATGTGTGTCAATCAGACATTGTGCTGACTAGTGGGGTAATTAAGGATTTCCATGCACATTCATATTGAAGATCTACAGCAGTACTATATATATATATATATATATATATATATATATTCATTGTATTTATATTTTTTTCATTCTGTGTATAGTTGGTTTTTATTTAACTTTTTTTTTCTCTTCTATAAAATATACAGTATTGAAAGCACATATTCCGTTGTACTGTTTTTTATTGATTACTGACGACAGCTACAGTAGACAAATTTAGTCTTCTTATATTCTGTGCTATCCAGTCCTTCAAAAAAAAAAAAAAAAAGAAAAATGTTAAAAACAATCCTCTGGACTTTCTTTCCTAGTTTGCAGAAGTTTCGATCTTCCCATCCAGGAAGCTATTTCAATTTAAAATGTCAGGAATATCGTTGAGTTCAAGGTTTTATACAGTAGCCTATCAAAACCTTGTTTTGTTTTGAAAACATGCAAATTGAAATGGATGAAGGGGTCCACCCCTTTGAAATGGGGGCCGTTGGCCTCCTTTTTTTAGCCTGCAATACCCCATACCCATCTTAGATGGTACATCATGCATTCTTTTTGTCTCTCCATCTAACATATCCAAATTATCCTTGCTCAAACAGGACTTACTTTTTATAGTGGCCTCCTGATGCTAATCTTAATCATCCAGAAATTCCAAATGAAACAAGAATTTAGACAAACATTTGACAACATTGGCAGTTCTAAGAACATCTGCAGGAACCAATGTGCAATGAGGGGTGGCCAAAAACTTAGGGTGGACCTATGTTGATCATGACCAGTATTTTCATCAACAATGACAATGAATAAATTATTTAGTTGACACTCCTTTTTTCATGACGATAACAAAAACTGTCAAGCTAAATGTGGATCTTTGTTAATAAAAACTTGAGAGTTAAGGGCTTGAATTTTACGAAAAAAATTTTACTGAGTGGTCTGTCAGACATTTAAAATGCATCATTGTGTTGCAATCGGCTGAGGAGTATCAGCCATGCTGTTGTATCTTGTTTAATCACGCAGCCCACCTGCCATACAGCGGTGCTCATTCTGTACGACCACAGATGTATCATGGCAGCATCTGCGGGCTGAAATTAATCCAGAGTGATCCTGTACTGCACGCTCAACTCTGACAAACTGATCTTCCAGCTAATGGCGTAACGACACCACAATAGGCCTGTAAGCAACATCATCTAGGTGGGCCCCATATGAAGTACAACGCCCCGATCCCACCCCCCGCCGCCGCTGCCATGTGCCCAATACATACACACTTCATCATTTCATAATTCTTCAACTTTACTAGACATGGATCTACTTTAGTATATTCTGCTGTAAAATGAGTTTTATTGGGCTACCTTGAGTTTCTCAGCCCCCTCCTCACCCACGCTCTCTCCACTCATCTCCTGGTCGCAATCTTCACTCACTGTAGCAGCAACGTCCTCCTCTCCTTTTTTGGTTCTTTGAAAGAACATGTTTATTTTTGGGAAGTTTTGTCCGTTCTTCCAGCAGCTCTTCTTTCCTTTTTCTTTTCTAGGAATCCGCTTACACTGCATGAAAAGTGAGATTTTCGTCCCCGTAAACTCCCGCAGATCTCCCTGATTTTCGTCAGTTTCCGACAATTTGCAACCCGCGCTTGTCCGCGTTTGTCGTGCCACAAATTGTCGGAAACGGACTCTGACGTATGTGGAGAGC